CCGAAGGTCTTGAGAGACGCATCCTTGAGGGAGTCATTGATCATTCCCGAGCTCTTTTATTGGCGAATGGTAATCGAAAGAAAGCACGAGATCCCATGAGCCGTAAACGAAACCCTGCTCAACGCAATTCAACGGCTCATTCTATCGCCTCGAGTGTCGCTTCAAAAACTCCATCGATTACACAAGGTGCTGTTAATATGGCAATGAAGAATCGCTCTCCCACCAAAGGACCTCAAGCCAATCAGGCCCAAAGACGCATTCTATCCCTGAGTCAAATCAACAATAATCTTTCAACTGGTAATTTCAAACGCACTCACAGTGTCAAACAACCCAGTGCTTTTACTCCACGTAAAAGTAGCTGGGGAGGAGACTCAAACAAAACCAGCAATTATGGGGAACTGAACAAGGAGAATCTGGCATTGAAAGAATATGAAGATGAAGATGAAGAAAACAAAGAGCTAGGCCATCTTTCTGACCACGAGGGTGGAAATCAAAGCGACTCAAACACGATGAGGAGAAGCAGTCATGGTACTACTGTTATCACTGGAAATGAAGGAACAGAGTATTCGGAGAGTATTGATGGTGGGGGAAGAGATCGAGATGAGGATAGAGATAGGGATGAGGGATCAGAATCGGATTATGAAACGGAAACAGATTTGGGAACTAACAGTCATTTGGGTACCGAAAGTGAATTGTCGAGTAGTAGTTTGGGACAGGGAAAGGGAAAGGACTATAATGCGGTGGTTTTGTATGAAGAGGAAGTTGCTTAGTTCGTCGGTGGTTGGAGATGGAAATGAGGGGATTGATATGAAGAGTGGAAGAGCTTTTCGTAAGCTACAAATTTATGCGGTAATGGTCTAATTCTTGTATCTTCCTTGACCCGCTTACTCGCTTTGGGAAACAGAGGAAGGGGTGGCTTTTTTTTGCTATGAAGCAAGGGATTACGACAGAACCTACAATATACCCTAGTATGTCGGTTTCTTGATGAAGTCCTGATTGAAGTTTATGGTTGTTACATTTTTTTTCTTTTCTATGAACAGCGTTTTAGCGATTAGTATATTTTATATCCTTTTTGGTTGTGGTATTTTCAATTTCAAAGATTCCCTTGCGAAGGCGGTATGCTAGGTAGTTAGTAGTAGTATTACAAGTACAAACTTTCTCTTCTCACGACTGCTTTTATTGGTGTCATTCATTGCATGCATTGTGAGCAGAGAAATGAATTCGTCCCCATCAGCATTTTAAATACCAACACAATTACTCGCATCGACATAAAACCACCCATACTACCATTCTGAGACTACTCCCTCTTCAAAACTTTCCTCCCCGCCATCCACGGCCACAAAACCTCGGGCACCCTAACTTCCCTCCTCTCCTCGTCCCATCCATTCTCTAAGATGGCAGCCACAATTCTCGGCACCGCGAGCGCCGTCCCATTCACTGTCCACGGGAATGCAATCTTCCCACCATTCTTATCAATATCCACTCTCGTCGCCAATCTCCTACTTTGATAATCCCCGCAGATACTTAACGATGTCACTTCACCCCATCCATTATCTCTTTCTCTGCGCGAGGGAAAGAAGGCTTCAATATCTATTTTGCGCATAGCTGAGGCGCCTAGATCGGTAGAGGGCATTTCAAGGATTCGACAGTGGAGATTGAGGGAGGTGAGGATGGTGGTTTGGAGGGAAAGCATTTCATTGAAAATTTCTGTGGTTTCTGGGAGGGAAGGAGAGGTCCAGGCGAACATTTCGACTTTTGTGAATTCATGGACTCGATAGAGACCTTTGGTGTCAATGCCACGGGCGCCTGCTTCGGCGCGGTAACAGCGGGATGTGGCGATTGTTTTTAAAGGGAGGAGAGATTCGTGGATAGTGGTGTTGGCTTTCATTCCCGCGAGAGGGATTTCGGCGGTTCCGGCGAGGGAATATGTTGGTTTTGCGCTTTCGGCATCGGAGGGGGATTGGGCGATGGAGTAGATTTGTTGTTCGTCTGATTGATCGCGGGGTTGGAAACCACATGCTGATGCGATGTGGGAATAGACCATTGAGGGAGGAGAAACGATGGACCAGCCTTTTGAGAGAGCGAGAGAGAGGGAATATTGGATTAAGGCTTGTTCGAGGAGTGCGGCGCCGTTAAGTAGATAGTACCATCCCCAACCGGAAGTATTGGCTGCAGAGGAAAAATCAAGGAGGTTTAATTCGCTACCTATGTGGACGTGAGACCGCCATACTCGGTCTGAGGAGGCGGCTTTAGGTTCGGGATGTTCGTTGATGGTTCCTATTACTTTTGGTTCTGAGCCGCGGGGAGTGGAATCGGATGTAAGATTTGGAATTGCGGATGCGAGTGTGTTGATTTCTGTCATGAGCATCGATTCTGAAGATTCTATCTCAGAGATTTTATCCTTCAAACTTCTAGCTTCTGCGATAATCTCTTCTTTGGAAAGGGCGCGTAACTTTTGAATTTCTTCTGACCCGTCATCTCGTATCGATTTTGGATTTGCAAGTTGAAGTTTTAATTTATTATTTCTTTCTCGTAATGCTCTTCCATCGCGTTGATGTTCGTGCCATTGTTCAAACAAACTTATGATTTTAGCTGGGTATGTTGATTGCAATTTGTAATTCCTTTCCAGACAACTTTTTTCGTATATTTCGGGATTGGTACGTATGTGTTTTATATCGATGGATTGTTTGGGTGCTATGGAGGGTTTAGGTAATTCGGAACGTAAACTTGGAGAGACGTGGTATGGACGACGAGAAGATGGTCGTAAGAGGGATTGGAATTGACATCGTAAACACGTAAAACGTTTGATCGTTGACATTTTGGGTATTGAGGGGGAAAGGATGGTGGGATGATATTAATTTTTGGAAGCTCAGAGCTAGCTGTTGAAACTAAGAACATGAGTTGAGCTTATTATTGGGTGAATTTAAAATGCGGGGCTTTGTCGGTCAAACGATTTTCCGACCCCTCCTTCAAAAAAGTTGCAATCAACACCAAAAAACCGTTCAGATGGGCCTTTGGATTCAAAAAAGGATGACAAAACAACAAAACGTGCAAAAGGTGATTTCAAGATCGGGTTCAAACCGACGGAACTCAGGGTTACTCCCTACGTAGGGCTCGAACCTACAGCCTCAAGATGCCATCTTATAGACTTAAAGTCTATTAGAAGTCTTGCGCGCTACCATTGCGCCAGCAGGGAAATCATACGATTTCTTTGTAGATTGTTGGGTGATGGTCCCTAATTTAAATTTATATTCCACAATGTATCAACTCGCGTATCATAAGCCGGGTTTCCAATGCCCCTCACTAAATTACAGTGTCAAAACTTGCTCCAGACTACAATCTTTCAACAATCACACCCAAAAATACGAGTCTCAACAGCCATTACATCTTCATGTCGCAACTATTACTTGTACATCAATAGATCTCACATGAATCCAGCGCTGAAGCATTATTTGACTACTAATCTTGAGTCGAATCATCAAGGAATAACATAAGGCCTACTAAGTGAGTATATTCGATTTTAGTATTCCGACTGTTCCTTCATTCATGAACTAGATACTCACAAGTAGATTACAGAGTAAAAGCTCATATAGTCTAGAATGTTATACACACCTAAAACGGAATATCATATAATCATTCAGATAAGTCTTTGAATGTCATTTTTGAAATGGTTAGCTTTCTGCTATTGCTTTTCTTTTCATATCAAATATCACATTGAATATTACACCTAAAAGTAAATATCATATTATTATTTTGATGTAGTTTTTGAAAACTGAAGTTTTTCGATTTCAACTCTTTTAAGAAATTAATTATTTTTGAATTACTTTTTAATATTGAAATACCATATGGATTTTTACACCTAAAATTAAATATCATATTATTATTCAAATAATACTTGAGGTTTCCTTCGACTATTTCTTTATACTCAAGGTGATCCAGACTGCGGAGGAAAGCGACGCTCGAACTGAGTATGCTTTTGATCAACCTCACTCTGATCGACGTGTCGGCACGCGTCTTATGCTGAAGCTCTAGCTATATCCCGCGGTTCCACATCTAGTTACCATGGTACTCATTGTCCACCAAGTATCACTCCAAGATCAAGTCAAGGAACATGTAATTAAATGCTTCATACGAGTGGACTATGAAACTGCAAGACCGAAGCATATCGAACCATTATTTCGCATACTTCAATGCTCTTATAATAGCTATTCGAGGGAGTAAGGGAGTACCATTACTGTGTTGCATTTATGACGAAGATAAAAAATCTGCAAATAAGGGATAAATCAGCGCCTCCAAAAGGCTACAACGACCTGGATATGCGTCAAGTTGATGTAAACTAAATTCGACCAAGTCAGTCCTTACAGTTAATGATTCGGAGAAGGGAAACGGAAAGGTAGATTCTACAAAAACGGTCAGAGGTGCAGATGGGATTAGTGGAGGTGTCGGGATGTGTGTTGGTCTCCTTCTCTGGCAATTCGCTATGCCTTTGTCAAGAGCGAGGGATACAATTTTGCGGCATTGACATGGCCTTTGCATTATATTCAAGTACCATAAGCTTATTTCTTTTCAACTTCGATGTTCTTTTGGTCCCTCTATCTTGCCTCCATCGATTCCAACTTTCACAATAAACTTTTGTCATGTGCAACTATATTTTTCTAAGTGCAGAAGACCGAGGTTAGAAGAGTTGATCAATTTGTTAATAATAAGGTCTGTAATACGTCTAAAATTTTGATTTGCCATCTTTTGAAAATGCATGTTCTATTTCATGAATATTTGGAGTCATTCTTTGGATGAAATGGGGTTGAAGTCGAGCTTAGACCAATACCCAATTACCTACCTGACAGTAGTACGGATTCTGACACACTTCACCTTTCATCTTCAACTTCACCATCACATCATAAAGCTTTCCAACTTCTGAGTTTTTACACAAGGAACAGGGAGATTTTCATCAATATCACGAATACAGTAAAAAGAAGCAGAAGTAGAAGTATTTACCGACGATGACCACATACCAAGTAACTTCATTGATCAGCGAAAGCCACAGATTCAGTAATCACGCTTTAATCTACAACGAAGAGCCTTCAGTACACTGTCTATCACCTGAGTCTCTCTAAACGAAGAATCAAAATCTTTTAATATACTACCCAGAGTGTACTTTGAATTTTACCAAGCTCCCTGACCAAGCCATGGATCTATCAAAAGCTCCAAAGACGAAGCCCATCTCCGCAAAGAAAGCTGCTCGGTATAAGGAGATATTCGATGATCCCCAAGAGATGAAGGAGATCTTCGAACAATGTGACGCATCCAACCGTTGGGCTCAAGGGCTCAAGGTGGATGATCTGGCATCCCAATGCACTAAGCCAGAGGGAAATGTTGATGATGATGATGATGATGATGATGATGATGATGATGATGATGATGATGATGACGATGATGAATTGATGGCTTCGAAGTATTTCAAGAAGGACTTTGTCATGAAGACCACGGATCAAGAGAAGAAGACAGATGAGCTTGAGGTTGGAGACGGTCTTTCAAATTCGCTTACGTTGAGAAAGCAAGAGGAGGGGTTGGTGCTCCCGACCAGGAATGCCACAGCCAAAAGCATTCTGCCCACCGAGTCCGGAACCAGCCATGTGGCAGCATAATGAAGGCACTGAGCACTATCACTTTGCAATTCCAGTCATGTTTCTCGAACACATTATCAAGGTTGATGAGGCTTACAATCGCAAGTGAACCGCTGTTCCCTGGGAGATGTGAAAGGTTGCCACAAGGCATTGCTAGACATGAGACTTAGGGGGGCCAAGAGTAGAAAGAGCGCAATTGCCGAACACACAATTCGTCAATCAAGGCATCGACCATGTAGTTCAATCCTCAAGTAAGAATGACCAAGCTATCCAAATATGCAAATAAATAGTCAACCATGCATTTTCACTGCCCAGTGAAAATTAGACTGAATAGTAAAGTGTTCATATACTGATATTGTAATGACGAATTCCATTGCAAGTAATCACTCCTTGTTGTCTAACTGAATCTCCAACGTTGTTCGCCCTATGCATACCTCCAGTTGCTTGCATGTTTTGTTCCCTCTGTATATAGGTAAAGAAGTGAAATTACACGATATCAGTAGCAAAGTAAACATCCCCCCACTAAAATCCTCAAAGACTGCTTTCATACAGCCTCCGAATCCCTATGAACAACTTCATTCCTCAACAACTGATATGAGATTTGACATTTGGGTGATTAGATAGCCATAAACGCAAAAAGGAGCTGTGCCGCATATTATATTAGCCTGATTCACTCCACTCCAATCGTGCATGAATCTAACTGTTGGTATGCCGAAAATGGCACCTCTACCGCAGATGGACATCCACCAATCAAACAGACCAAATGTTGGCTATAAAAACCGTTTGTTGTTGGCACTTCATCATGAAATTACAGACCATAGCTCTAGTAGCCCCTAAAAGACATAGCAAGTTGATTGTACGTGTTACTTTCCGACTCAAATTTGTAACAAAGTATATACAAAGCCTAACAGTATGGACGAACCATTAATGACTCAGCTGCTTAGAGTGGCTGGTGCTATATTGGGCTATACTTATGACTATATTTGTAATGAAACTATATCAAGTGCGGAGTTTCATTCGAGGACTTCAAAAGCAAGGTCTTGCACGTTCTCACAGCCCATCTGATGGTCAACGACCAATCATGTCCATCAAAACATCGACTAACCAATCTCCAAGCCTATGCCCCCTCATCATTGGTTACTCGGACACATACCTCCCAGTGCAAGTATCATTGGCAGTCTCCCTCCATACGCCCATGGCGTCTATGTTGGAGACCAAATCCGACAAAGATATCCCCATCGCTGCTCCAATTCTTGTCGTGCTTAAGCCGGATATGATGTACCAACTGACTCAAGCAAACCAAATACCAAAAGATAAAGGCATTCGCGCTTTCCTGAAGCCCTTGACTGGCGAATCTGATTTAGTTACTTTGGAAGGCAATACTTGGAAACACTGGAGAGCTATATTCAATCCTGGATTTAGCGCGGGTCATGGGTCAAGTCTGGTTCCGAGTATGATTGAAGAGATCAAGATATTCAAGGATCTGTTAAGGAAACATGCCGAAAGTGGTAAAATGATGTTTCTTGAAGATGCTAGTTTGAGCCTCACAATCGATATTATTGGCAAAGTTGCAATGTGAGTAGATATCTCTTTTGTTTCTGTCAGAGCTGTTGTATATCACCGACTAGCAGACTTGATGTGTAAACTTAATCACTGAAAGTAATATAATGGTCAAAACGAATTCAAGATCTTCAATTTATTGAATGTCCTAGTTGATTCGGAAATCAAAAGCTTCTGCTTATCAGACCACAATCCAAACTACCAGGAAGACTGCTTTCTGATCATTAACTGATGCAAATAATCTTTACCAGGGACCACAGATTCTGCAGCCAGACTAGCTACAACGACATGACAGCAGCATTACGAAGGCAACTATTATGGTGCACGACAGGCATGAACATTAATCTTTTGGAATACATAAATATCTTTCGCCCCTTTGTGCATACATAGAACAGCTACCGAATGAACCGCTACCTTTCTCAAGAACTCGACAAATGCTATCGAAGCATCAAAGGCACTGAGATACGGAAAAAAGACAAATTGATTGTGGATCTAGCGTTGAGAGCGTATCTTGCGGAGAATCCTTCTGCAACAGGCATCGATAAAAGTTTTCAGAATTTCGCCATGGCGCAAATAAAGTTATTCATCTTCGCGGGCCACGCTACCACTTCTGCTGGCGCAATTTTTACTTATCATCTGTTCTCCCAACATCCAAATGTACTGGCAAAAGTTCGGGATGAGCACACTGAGGTACTAGGGGCCAACATTGCGGACGCTGAGTCTGTGATTACTTCCAAGCCACAAATCTTGAACCAGCTTACTTATACCATTGCGGCCATGAAAGAGAGTCTTCGCATCTACCCCACTGTCGCCGCGCTTCGCGATGGACAATCTTATTTCTCTTTGATAGGGGACAATGGTCTTCGTTTCCCCACCGAGCGAACAATAGTCTGGGGTGATCATTATACCACACATCATAATCCTGCCCATTGGGCGCGAGCCTAAGAGTTTCTACCAGAGCGATGGATGGTAGCCGAAGGCGACGAGCTCTGACCGCCCAAAAATGGATAGCGACCATTTGAGCGCGGTCCTCGGAACTGTATTGGTCAGGAAGTAGCCACGACAGAAATAAAACTCATGCTTGCGTTGACGATTCGAGATTTTGATTTCAAGGATGCTTACGAGGAGTATGATGTTATGAAGGGTAACCCAAAGAGTTCAAATATAAATAGCCAAAGAGCATACATGATGCTTCGGGGAGGCGGCCACCCGGCAGATCATTATCCATGTAAGGTAGCTTTCGCAGTGCAAAAGTAATCTGGCTGGAAGGAACAAATTGCATTATTATGAGTGGGAAGATCCGCTCGAGATATCCTGCGACTTAACAATTTTGCAAGTAATAGTGGCATAAAACGAGGTTATGACCCTCTCAACTTATGGGTATCTATATGAAGATGAAAACCAAGATTTAAAAGCAACAACTCATAATCCCAAACTTTGGGTGGCATCCAATTTCATGAAAGATGATTGATGGTCAGGCTAGACCCAACGTGCTATGTACTATGTGCTATGGTATCATGTCCTACTCCGATTCGCCAACTTCTTGTCTCCCATCTCCTCTATCTCTTTCTTTTTATGATAATGTGGTGCAAGCTCATACAACCAATTCGCTTTGATGGGAATGCAACTGCGCATGTACTCCTTTGTAGTTTGTACAAGTTCATGATAAACAACCAACTTGATAGGAGGATCATTTGCCATCAATACTGATGAAGGATGTATATACACTGTAGTATTTCTCTTGACTGTCCGATAACTGTCTCCATCTCGTTGTAATCGTGCTGCATTAGCGAAAAATCCGGCCGTGATCGCTTTCTGAATAGGCTCCAGATTTGACGCCCCGCAACTAGCGATTGTAACTTCCACGCGTTCACAAAGCTTTGCAAGTTGGTCCCGAACATCCCTAGCTCGAGTGAGGGAACGTTGCTGAAGAAAGTTCTCTTTTGCCCAGATAGTACTGAAATCATTGTCCACCCATTGATTCCAAATGTTCAAATAGGTGAGGTGGTCTCCTCCTTCTTTGATTGTGAAGCGCGCTCTGGCACTATCTGCGTGCACTCTCTGTTCTCCTTTGGGACGGAAAAATAGCGCCGAACTTTCACCTAACATTGCCATGATGCTTAATACTTCGTCAGAGCATGCCAGTTGGTCTGAAGCAATGATGGACTTCGCAACTTGAGGGTCTGTTGGAAATTCGGCCATTTGTCTCCCAATTTTGGTTAGTTCTCCACGGTTGTTTAATGCAGACAATGCGTACAATTGGTTGAGGGCACCAATTAGGGTTTCTGTTGGTGGAGGGTCCATAAAGTCAAAGGTCAAGAGATCGTTAATTCCAAGTGACTTAAGCAGTAGAACTGTACCATTCAGATTTGTTCGCTGAATTTCAGGAGTGGTACTTTCTTCCATTTCGTTCATAAACGCCCATTTTGTGTACAAACGAAAGCACTTTCCGGGCCCCACACGACCAGCACGACCACTTCTTTGATTTGCAGACGCTCGTGAACATGCTACTGTAACCAACTTCGACATTCCAGTCGCTGGATTATAGATATTCTCCTTTACAAATCCGGGATCGATAACATATACAATGCCGTCAATGGTCAAACTCGTCTCTGCAATATTGGTTGCCAACACAACTTTTCGTGCTCCTTTGGGTGTTGGTTCGAAAATTTTGGTTTGTAGATCGGTTGGAAGATTTGCGTAAATAGGACAAATAACAAGCTCAGGCACTCTCGAACCCAATTTCTTTGATATATCACTTATTCGTTCTTCCGCTGCCTCAATCTCATCTTGACCTGTTAAAAATATCAGCACATCACCACTTGGTTGAGAGGTATGTATCTGAAAAAGTGTAGTAATAGCAGCAGCAAGATAATTAGCTTCTGGCTGTGGGGTATTATAAATTTCGACTGGGTAACTACGCCCTTTAACATTGAAGATAGGAGCGCCATCGAAGAAGTCTGAGAAAGCCTGTGCATTAATTGTCGCTGAAGCAATAAGAAGTTTGATTGTTGGCCTTTCTTTGGCAAGATCTTTGAGCAAAGCTAGAAGTATATCGGTATGCACAGTCCGTTCATGAGCTTCGTCAATCATAATCACCTGATACTCGTCCAGAGAAGGTGTAATCATGACCTCTTTCAAAAGATGACCATCCGTCATATACTTGATGAGAGTTTTATCACTCGTACAGTCTTCAAAACGGATAGCGTAACCAACTTCATTTCCGATCTTGCATCCCATTTCCTCTGACACACGTTGAGCAACGGACATGGCAGCCACTCTCCTAGGTTGGGTTACTCCAATCTTCATACCATCTTTAGTATACCCTGCTTCATGGAGATACTGTGGTAATTGTGTAGTTTTACCAGATCCTGTCTCACCAACAAGGATAATAGTTTGGAACTGATCAAGAGCTGCCAGAAATTCGTCCTTATAAGCATAGATTGGAAGGTTTTTCCTCGTCTCCTCAATTGTCTTCGCTTTCTGCTCAGCAGCCTTCAATTGTTCACCCAAAAATCTTGCTTCTTTATCCAAGCCTTGTCCCGGTAATTTCGAATCCATGATCCACTTGATCCCTTGCTCCTCGTCCAAAATATAATCATATTCGCCTTGGTCGACTCGTTCGGTGCTTTGGATCTGGTTTCTGGCGAGCTTTTCTTGTTGCCTATCCCACTCCTCATGCTCGGAAACGAATTTCTCCTGGCCATATTCATCTCTTTCGACGTAGCGTTTGTATAGTGCATCTTGTTTCTTCTTTTGATCGAGCTTTCCTTTCTCTGTAATATAATCGTCTGGCATAGCATAGCCATCTCGATGATCATCAATTCGTGATCTTTCGTCGGCAAGTCGAAGAAGCTCTCTATTCTTGGCAAACTCTGCTTTCTCCTTCTTTGATAAATTGGAATATGGATCATTCAGCTCCCTCGTTTCATCCTCGACCTGTCTTCTCAGCAAAGCGAGACGCTCCGCTTCACGCTTTTTCAGGTATTCTTGTCTCGACCTTTCCCTTAGATCTGGCATTGCAGCACGTCTTGCAGCAGCGTCGTCTGCCAATGCTCTCCTCTGTGCCATGATAGGATCGGATCTATCCTCGAGTATTGTCTTCGATTTGTCGGAATTCTTTGACAACAGTCTCTGCGCGAAAGCATCTTTCTCTGCTTGGTCTCTCCTTCGTTCCTTTTCCGAATCCGAGATATCTTCATCTGAGTGTACTGTTTTGACCCGTTTTGAGGCAGGCTCCTGAAATTCTGGCTCCTCCTCCGAGATATATTCTTCGTCGCCCCATCGTTCCTCATAATCGTCATTCGCCTTATTCCGGATAGTTTTTGAGCGCTGCTCTGTATCTTTACGTGGAGACCTCTCTCGACGAGGTGACTTTTCTCGGTGTCTGTCGCGCCGCGACGAGCTTTCACGGTGTGACTTTTTCTCCTTCCTCTTTGCTACCACTTTTGCTGGACCTATTTCCTCTTCCTCCATAGGAAGAAGCGCGTACTTTTTAGAAGCCATGCTGTTTGAACGGGATGGAGGTCCGTGGATAACCAGAGGTAGTATAAGTCAAGTGAGACGGGCGACTTTCGATAATTTCGTCGACTATTGAAATAACATTACCTATGGAAGTCGCAGCCTCGCGACATGCACGATGTGATTGCTTGTAGCCCAAATAAGTGGACCAAAAAGTTAGCCGACAATTACCCGATCGTTGAATACGGCATTTTTGAACCTCACTTCAATGATCGAATTTAATGCCATGTGACGGAATGGGATGAACGACAATTGAAAATAAAACAAGTGAAGCGGAAAAGAAGGAAAAATACTGGGCAAAATGAACCGCACTTCGATGAGTCTCTTGAGGAGCTCAAAATACCTGGCAAGGAACGGCGCATCCATATCGCAACGACGATTTGCATCCTCAGAAACTCCTTCACCTACTGTAAGCCGTCCGATTTTTCTCAGTAGATGCATATTTTCAGTTCACGTACTTTTGTCAATTTGATTCTACATTATAGCTAATACCTACCAAGCGCACCTTCTACAAAACTTTCACTCGCCCTATCGCAAAAACTCTCCTGATGGCAACTTTCATATATCAATTGACCTATTGGGGCTGGGTGAAATTGGAGAAGGATGAATTGAAAGCAGGCAAACGTAGGGAAATAAAGGAACTCGAGGAGGAATTGGAGAAAATCAGTGGAGGCGCTATCAAGGGCGAAGATGTGAAAGTCAAAGGTATCTAAGGAGAGTTGGTGATACCTATGCGCGGGAATCAAGCACATAAGCACATAGTCACTTGCAGAACTATGCAGGGTGGAAATGAGGATTGAGAACTTTTGCGACCAAATAAAGTCGCTCTCATTATCTGGTGATGGTAGCTGCTAGTCTCAAATATTCAGTCGCAGTCGCTGTACCGCGACGACTTACAGATGAGATATCGTTTGCGACATACCCACCAGGTTCATGCTCGATTTTGCGCAAATCGAAACTGGAACATAGACAGACATTTTGTTTGTGCGGGGCCTTCCCGGGAACCGGTTGATTATCATTACGAAGACATGAGCTCCAAAATATGAACACCACAAAGATACCGAATTATGATAAACATCGACGTGCCTGCTTGCTTAGATTGCATCTTGATGTTTTGCCGGGGCGTGTTGCGCTTCGCAACATGATGTTGAATTTCCATCGAAGTCGATCAAATATCCTTAAATACTATATTAAAATTCACCAAATTTTTCATGCGACGATTCTTCCATCACCTCCCTGCTGTTATCATCTACACCTCCTACTTACTCAAAAGTTTAACAAAAAAAATTGTATCAAGTGTAGCAAACACACTTTCTCTTCTCTGTAATGAAATTCCTACTTACTTTGTCTAACCCCAATGGCTCAGGACTGCCTCCTCTTTTTAAATAATTGTATTGAGTCAATGATGCAATGCGAAGGAAGGAGTGGGCACTGGTATGAGTAAGGAAATGGAGTAGGGAAGGAAAGCAATCGAGTTACGTCTCACGAGTCATATAATATAAATCACATTGATGACAGCACGTGGTCACCGCATCTTGCCCGAATAATCTTTTTTTTGTCTACATAACTGTCAGCAGAAACTCAGAATGGGGTCTTGCCAAGAGAGCCAGATAGGAGAGAGTGTGTTTGCTTGTTTTGATGCGGGTCAGGGCTTGTGCGGCTATTTGTTTGAGAAATTGGGTACGATGGTGAATCAATGGTGAATTGGCGGATGGGTGAGAAGTGTGTGGTTGGGAAGCGAAGAATTTTTAGGCGGAGGTGGTGATGTCGGGGTGATGTGATTTGAATGATGTATGAATGAGCGGTGGACACAAAGTTTGGCTCTTTAGAGTACGAGGTGATGATCCTTCGAATGATCAACAAGTGTTATTTACATGACATTCATGACATCCCGAGCATCGTATGAAACTGATTAGCTTATATAAAAAATAGCATTGCATACCTAGTAGTACATCCATCGATATTCATATGTGCAATGATACCATAGAGCTATACCATTGAAAGTTGTGTAGAAGCAAGGGTAGGATATAACGTAGCCAAAGGTAAACTGTGAAGAATCAAGTGGAAATAGTTTGGAACAATCATATTAAACTTTTCCAAATATGGTATCTATCTAGCCGTCCATCACTTCGGCATATGTGAAATATCACTATATCAACTAAATCCCACTCATTCTTCATGTAAACCTTAACCGGGCTCGACTTAAGCACCCTTCCATTTTCCGAATCGAGCCCAATCTTTATACAAAGTTCCCCAAACTGCTCTAGCACTGGAATCCAGCCCATCAACCACAGCCTTGCGACCTTCCATATCCGTACATCCAAATATCGCATACAACCCAGGTGTCATAGCAGTTCTAACTTCTGACTTCATTGTCATTTCGAGGTTGAATTTTATGTATGTCTGTAGTATGATGTGCATATGTTGACCGGCAATCTTTTTGGCTTTGGCGACAGCAGATGTCAGATTATTCACGGATGAATGAGAAATGGAATTAGGTGTAGGGTCGCAGATCAGGGTGAGAAGACGGGTAAAAGATTCGGCAGCTATTGGAGAGAGAGTATTCGAGGAAGATGAAGTGATGCTTGGTTGAAAATGTGAGAGCCAGGGAGGCGGGGTAAAGGCCTGAAGAAGCCGCTTAGAGGTGTGAGAATGGGCTGTAAAGAGGCAGCGGAGAAGAGGTTGTAGAACTTGGATGACAGAATGAAGATGGCCCTCAAGACGGAAGCGGTGGTTGGTAAGAACGACCTTCATTAATGTACACAGACGAATGAAGATATTGCTCGCTTGTGAAGTAGGAAGAAGAGGTCCTTTGCTAGAGCATATTATCGCAACTATTGCAAGAGTGCGATCAATGGACCATTGGGAGAGGGCACGACGCTACATATTTGTTAGCTATATCGATGGAAGGTTGCGGAATTAAGACTCTTACTTTTGTCTTCAGCATCATCTCCATAATTTCCCCTAGCAAAGCAAATACTCGGTATGAATTGGTCTTGATAATCTGCGTGCAAAACAGATCGTATGCTAGACAAAGATCCATTGACCCTTGGTAATTCTTTGCATTAGCAGGCTCGTGTCCGACATCTATGAAGTGTTAGCTATAATCGGCAGGAGGTCAAAGCACAGTAGACATACTATCGCAGGCGCCAATAACATATTTGACGGCTACCAACTTATCCAGTTGAGTCAAACCAATCAGTTCTTCGCCCATTAAACGCTGAAGCAGTTGTAATTTTTCCGCGTTGCCCATTTCTGAGGTAATTGTCTCCATCTTTTTCTTTATGCCAGCCCTGCCGGCAGATGTGTTAATAAAAGCCTCTAAAGACATATGGAGGATTCCATCTTCGTTGCTCGACGCATGAGTAGCAAAGAATTCCGGCAACAGTTGGCGTACATCATCTACTTCTGGCTTCCCTTCATTCAGCTTGGCAATATATACTTGACTTTCTGTTGCGAGAGGTTCAATCTCTGATGATTCCACGCCCAAAGAATCTAGAGCCTGAAGAATAACAACAATTGATAATGAACCATCCTTATGATTCCCAACCTCGTCTATCTTAGGTTTTTTTTTCAGTCGCCTTTGCAGTTGGAGGAGAAGAAATTTTCTGAAGGATGTGCAATGGTTAGTCAAATCTTGGTTGCTGACGATAGCTAGATCATTAAGTTGCTTCGATTTAGTAACAAGCACAGCAAGTAATGACTGTGATGTAGAGATGAAAGGCAAAGTTTTCTCCCCTTGGTCTTCTTCTCGTCGCTAGTGTATTTCGAGAGTTTATCCTGGAAATAACTTATGGCGTCTAAGATATATTTGCGATTTTGAGACTGATCCAAGTTACTAGTCACATGTCTAATAAAGATCAGTAAACAAATAGCCAGGATAATATCAGTATGAATGGTACGTACGACAAAGTCAACTTAACAAGCTCTCTCAGTGTAATAAGAGTTTCCAACCGCTTAGGCATCTCCTCGAACCCGACTTTCTTGATCAATTTCTCAATTTCTTCGAATTCCTTATATTTCATGCCCTAGGATTGAATTAGCAACGTCTGGAATTTTGCTGGTTCTACTAACTGTATAAAATGTAGGGCGATGCATGATCTTCAATTTCAATGCTAGCACAGCGGGATAACACTCAGGGGACTGTGCCAAGACATCTGTTGACCAACTTTGCATAATCCGTTCTCTGTACTTCTTGCTGATCACTTCCAATGGAAGTCGTGTTAGAGATTCGATGACAGCATAATTACATATAAGAGTAGCAGTGAGGGGGTTTTCTTCTTGACTTTGACAGCTCAGTAGGACATCAATAAATCGACTTATGATGCTAGATTGGTTGAGTACACAATCTTGACGCAAAACTCCAAACCATAAAGCGGCGAATGCTTCATGATTCCATACATGCTCAGTTGTAGAGGTCTTAGCCAGAGAAGCTATCCAAAGGATATTTCTTAACAGCAAGTCGAATGAATTGCCTTGTAACTTTATGCCGAGTTCTAGAACACGGGATATTCTTGAAAGAGGCAATTGTAAAATGACCATGCAGTCCATTGGGCGCCTCGTGATAACGTGTTGAGGTGAATAGGCCACTTTTCATTATTTGCCACTTTTGATCAATCAAAGCACCAATAGAAGGACCTAGTTGTTCAAGAAAACGCAAAACCACTGGTGATGAAAGACTTTCCAATTTCGTTCCAATTTCGGACGCATTCCATGCTGAGCATGCACACCGAAAGATTTCCAAATTATCCAATCCTTTCTGACCGAACGTATGGGCGGACAATATGGTAAAGGGGCTCGCTTGCTGCTCCCACAGCTCAGAAATTTCTTCAAGATGAAGAGGTTGCATCCAATGGAAGGATCGAGTCAAAACCCTCCAAGCTCGCCAGCTATATCTGCCATTCAATTTGCCAAGATTCCCGTTATCAAAGATGACATGATACAGACGTGTTCCGATGATATCTACGACATCTTCTCTAGATATTGAATTTGCAATAGCTTCAAGGATGGTAACGACAGCGTTAGGTTGGTTTACGATCTCGATAGCTAGCCAATCAACTAAATGTACTATCTGTTGAATAGTTAAGGAATTTTCCAAAAGCTTAGAAAGCTCAACCTGTAGGCTTCATCCTCCCAAGCACAAAAGGCATCCGCCGGGAACATTGCATCTTCCTTTCGTGTTTGCTCAAACTTAACAAGCTGAGAGTACCAATGGCGCACAAATCCCGAGAGATCACGAGCTTTGGCAAATTCATCCATCAAAGGAACGACAATCTCGGATACAATATGTCGAGATTGTTCGGGCCAGGTAATTTCGAAGTAGACGTTAGTAACTCGCTCCAATACATCGTTCAATAAATTCTTGTCGCTATCGGCGATGAGGAAGACATTGGCATCGAGTTTCATCACGGTTTCTAGAAGGTACCAATCCGTGCTTCCCTCAGGCACAACATACTCCGCCGTTAAACTTTTGAGTTCTGGGAGGCCAAGATCCACTTCGTGTTGAATGGAGCGCTGAAGTATTTCGCGGATGGCAGAATTATGCGCCACTGTTTTGGTTGGAGGCATGGCAGATTTTAAGGTTGTAAATACTGTCTGAAGCCAGGCATTATCTGATGGTCGTCTTCGGCGGTCTCCATTAGACTGCAAAGACCGAATTGCAATGTCAAAAAGAATAGGAGCATTTGCGACATCTTGCAGAACTAGGACTCTCGTCAAACTCTGTAACAATGTAGAATCTTGCTTCTCGCCAGCGCTCGCTTTTGAAGGAATGATGATATTTCGAGCAATCAATTTCTCCAAAATTTCCTTCCAATCCTGTGTGGTTGAATCTACCTTCGTCATTTTCAACAATGCTAGTAAAGGTTCTGAGCAATGAAGAGAAAATTGCATCAGGTCTTCAGTTCCTGCCACGCGGTAGTCCAGATGTCGATAAAGGGGACATCAATTGAGACGATATAACCAGACCAGCTTTTTGACTTATAATCATCTGGCAAAGAGACATCCATGAGCCTAGAACCATGGCGGACGCTTCGGGCGTGGTTCGTACGACCGCTCGCATGTACTCCGTGGTAAAGGCTGGACTTCTACCATTCCCTGCTGTTCTTTGCGAGGAAGAGACTTTGGTGGATCGAACGATACTATTGATAGCAGTATGAATCGCCATAACTAAAGCTCGAAGGCCCTTGGCCGGACCATGATACGTATGGGTGACTAGTTCCCCGGTCCGTTTGCGCTTCTTCGAGATAATCGATGTTTCTCCCGAATCGGACCCTGACATTGAATCATTGTGTACCTCCATGCCAGAATCGTCAATTTCGCTGATCTCCTGTGCTTCCTGTAATGTCTGTTGTAGGGTTACGATAAACTTCTTTTCGGTGAGCATGCGTGCAGTATTCGCTAGTGGGATCGCATTCAACAATAGACGGAACAGGTGCCATGATGACGGTGTGGTTCTAGGGGAGCATTGTTAGCTTATGATCTTCAATCCAGAATGTAATAAACAATATACCTCGCAGTTTTATCCTTGGGAGACTGCAATTTCTTCAAAAGCCATCGTAGAAGCCATTCCTCTCTGCCATGAAATGAACCTGCCGCGCATTTCTTCTTGAAGGCTTTCTCTTCGTGTTTTTGATGATCCAGAACAGTAGCAACCTTATCCAAATCAATATCAACAAAATTTCCAGCTTCACGAATTTGTTCTTCGAACGGTGCCGATGCTTTCTCCAGCCCAGCAAGCTTTTCTTGCGCAATTCGAGATTTTGAATCCTATACAATCATTAGAACAAGTTTCAATATTAAGATGCCTATGCGACCACAGAATCACTTACCATTATTCAAAACTCTCATTGACAATTCGAATTGGTCAAATTCCCCTCCCTCGTCAATAGCTCAACTTTTTTTTGGAAGCCATTAAATCAAAAGCTGTAAGTGGCATAGTTCCCTGACAGAAAATATCACCGCCTTCTCGATAAGTACTAGCGCGTGCACGGATAATCATATCGATAAAATAAATTTTCAATCTTGACTACGACTTTGTTCCTTCCTTGCACAAAACTTCGATACAATTTCAAACGTTGCTCATTGCTAAACATGTCTCAAGACGAGATTCCACCAAGTAATGAAGGTACTGTTGCTGTCGAGGATATCTCTGCCTTGACTATCCAGGATCCTGAATCATCCGTGGCTGATGATCGTCCCGAACTCCCCCATCGTTCTCATAATCCCGAAAACAACATGAAGAGATCAGATCCGTTTCAATTTGGTTCTCGATATCTCAGTGAAAAAGACAACGTCTTCGAGTTCAATGCATGGGATCACGTCGAGACTGATGATACTTACAAGGAGTATGCAGAATTACAATATGCGAAGCAGCGCGAAGCTCCTGTATCGGAATTTGACAAAAGTACGTATTTTCCGCTTTCTCTTTTTCCAAAAATACTGTGCCAATTTTTGGTACAGTACTACTATGACGATAAATCAAAATTCATCTGAGGTTACTAGCCTCTGAATGATACAAATATAGCAATGTCTTTCGCTCCTATCTGACTGTAGTTTAATTTCTGAACTTGTTTGAACTTTTGTTTCTACCAAAAACTAACAGATTTCCCAAGGCAGATTCAATTCCGATCCCGCCAAATGGTGGAACAATTTTTACAAAAACAATACTGCCAATTTCTTCAAAGATAGAAAATGGCTCCAACAAGAATTCCCCATTCTTTCTCAAGTAACAGAGCCTACTTATGGACCTTGTACCATTCTGGAAGTTGGTGCAGGTGCAGGTAATACTGCTTATCCAATATTAAAACATAATCAAAATCCTGAATTAAAAATCCATGCTTGCGATTTCTCAAAGAAGGCAGTGGAAGTGATACGTGCGAACGAGGCATATGACACCAAGAATATCCAAGCAGACGTGTGGGATGCTGCTGGCGATGACCTTCCCCCCGGATTGGAAGAGGGTAGTGTCGATGTTGTGATCATGATCTTTATCTTCTCTGCACTTTCTCCTAGTCAATGGAATCGAGCCGTTCAAAATGTCTTCAAAATCCTTAAGCCTGGTGGCGATGTGCTGTTTCGAGATTACGGCCGTGGTGATCTTGCTCAAGTGCGTTTCAAAAAAGGTCGTTACCTAGAAGAGAACTTCTACATCAGAGGTGATGGAACTCGGGTATATTTCTTTGAAAAAGATGAGTTGGTCAACATCTGGACCGGAAAGCTTTCCGAGTCAGATGCTCAGGCTACAGATTCAACGACAGAGCAAGAGTCAGGCTTCGATATCATTGATTTAGGCGTTGACAGAAGGTTATTGGTTAATAGAGCCAAAGAACTAAAGATGTATAGATGCTGGATGCAAGGCCGATTCAAGAAGAAGTGCTTGCCTAGCACCAATTCAAAATAAATTTTATGTCCATGACACACTGCATTGATTTTTGTTTCTTATTTTCTTGAGGGTAGTGTCAACTGCAACACACTGAAACTCTCGCCACAACCTCGCGGGGTTTCGTAAATCTTTTTGCACATGTTGAGATTTGGTTCTCAATTCTCCTGGTTCACATCCGGCATAGAAATTCTTTACCTCCGCACGGCTCTTCTCCGGCGAGTATTCACAACCTTTCCGTTCTTTGTTTGGTCAACCTTCACTAAATCTGCAATTGTGGCTCCACGCCTAACAAATTTGAGTGATCAATAAAGGTGAATCAGGTGATAGGTGTGGATCTAGAGTAGCATTTTGATCTCATCATTTGATCTGTTGACGTATGAAGTATTTCTTAATCATCTGCATGGTGCTGAAGGCTATGCTATAGGGAGGCTTGAGAGGCGGTACTGTTCATATAGTTTCAAAACTCGGTTAGAGCTGGCGTTCACAACGATGGATTGACTGGAAATGCAATGCTAGCTAAACTTGCCTTCGACTAGGTGGTATATTGGTTCGTCTGATATATTTTAGGGGCAATTCAAGTGGCATGCGCCGAGCGACTGGTAGCTATTGGCGTCGCACCGCGATTTGGATGTACTAGCAATCAGAAACGGACTGCAGATATAAAACTTGCCTCTGCGTTCTATGTGCAGAATCAAATATCGGGTTCGTCTGAGTGAAGAAGCGTGAAATGGTCTAGAGCACGATGTGATCAGATGAAAGGGATGTAACGCTGCTCAGAGGCGTGCCCAGGTGGGTACTTGAACATGTCTGCAACAAAGAGAGAATGGCCACGAATTGCATGATGGAAGTAACTACTTAGCTAGACTACACGCTAGAAGGAACTAGATTGCCTAACTTGATGTCGTTTGAAGCGAATATGAACTTCTGCAGAGACTCCGAAATATGGGGCCCCACATGTCTTCAGGAGAATCAAGCTTACTTTTGGTAAGAATTATGAGTTATTCTGTTCGTCAGCTTTCCTAAATTCTTGTATCATCCATGCAGGAATAACTCAAGCTGGCCGATAGAACAGTGGTATACCCCAAAGCTAATAAAGGCCTTGAAACCTGTTGTATCAAAGTAGGCGACTTGAACAATGTCATCACAACTACTGGATATGTACCAGTGCAAGAAATTGATCCGCATGGTGAGAATTTTCACACGTTTCTTCCCAGACAATATATAGATAATACAGCTCGACCAGTAACAAGCTTACCACTAGTCTTCACTGTTGCGTTTACATCTATATATCATCACAGAGCTAAAGAAATATGAAAATCCAGACGATCTTGCATCTCATCTCAGCTCTCCTATCATCTGAGGCCTTCAGCCGAACACAATACAACAAGGGTGTTCTGCGGTATTGGAGCTCGGATTTCGGCATAATAGGACTCTTCTTTCATCACAAAATAATTCTGTTAGTTTAGTGAATTAGCAAGCGATATTGTAGCAACCATTAAAACCTTTCGTAATTCCCTCAACTCCAAGGAACCTTTACATACAACAACCTCTATTTGACAATACCTTTTCACAGACTGGCAAGCTCTTTTTATGAAATTTCCTTTCCATTTTGTTGATAGTATCAAGAAACCCCCGAACTTTACAATATTGTATGCTATTCACTTACTTTCTTGCAACAATTTCTAGAATACTTCAGACACAAACACAGAGACAAGACAGTTGATAAGCTTGACTTCAGGTTGTTGTACTAACCCCTTATCACTTCCCGGAAGAACGTGCCTGCAGAACCTGAAATAGGAAGACGAAACGATTGATAACCTTGACTTCAGGCTGTCAAACTAAATCTCTTATCACTTCTTGAAGGAACATACCCTGTCACACCTCTTGAATCTTCTTTTAGATTATTAAATACCAATCAACAGCAATGCCGCCGAGGAGGAACCAACTAAAGAGAAAACAATCTGTCGCAACCCGCAGCTCAGCCAGGCTAGCTAAGAAGCGTCTAATTGCTACGTCAGAGGAGGATGTGAAGATATCGGGGCCAGATGTCGAAGAGCCAGAGGTCAAGACAGAACCAGTGTCAGAGGATGAGGCACCACTTCCTGGTAAGTTATATCACCTACCGTTATTTAGAAGATAAGCTAAAATCACTGTTAGTTACACCCAGAATCAAGATCGAAGGAGGAGGTGATGATGGCGCCGAAGCAGATGACGAAGCTGAAGACATCCAGGGAAGAGGCAACGATGAGGATGAGCGACCAGAATCTTCTGAGAGTGAACCGGAGGTAGATACCCCTGATGATGAAACGGATTATGAACGGTACATGGCGTACGAGTCTGACGATCCTGAGTACCACGAAATACGACGCAGACGTGGTAAGCCTTATTCTCAATCCCATTTATAATCAAGCTAATATGGTGGAAGCAGAGATTGAGGTATCGCCGTTGCCCAACTTACCGCAAATTCCTCGATTGATCACGACACTTCGTGGTAATGGCAGGGATAACTCGGATCAACGCCTCATAGCCAGTTCCGGAACGAACAGGCTCCCAAACTTTTTCGATAAATATGGAACCCGGCATCATATCCCTATCGAGGTCTTTAAGCAAATATTAGACTCCCTGTATCAACAAAAAGATGACATTACCGCTACTTCAGTATCCCTTACCAATGTTTTCAATTACGGACTCGTCTTCGATATTTTTGGACTCAGTATGTGTGGGAAAATCAAGAATTTACTACAGTGTCGGCCAGTGGAAACATGGGAAACAGGTTTTTTTGACCTCCCATTTCTCTCTGCGCCATCCTCCAGGCCCAAGATTTGTCTTCGACATGTCCTTCATTCGTGGTTTCCAGAACGGCTCACGTGGATCCAGTATGGCAAAAAACTCATGTATCATGGTCCGATCTCCCTCAAGCTTATAAAAAGATACATAAGAAGAACTGAAGGGGAAGGACAACGCAGGGCGCTTAAGGAACATAAAACACGACTTGGGCAAGGTCAGGAGAATAAGTTACAAAGGCAGAGAGACAGAAAAGAGCGAATCGAAAATAGACGCAACAGAAGAATTGCCAGGTTGTCAGAAATAAGGGAAGCACACGCGGAGGATTCAGAATTCTCAGATGATCACAATTGCGTTGAGAGTCAATGTGCTCTTAATCCCGAAACGGCCCATAAGAAAATACATTACATCTCTTCCGGGCGCGACCCGGTTACGGATTCTGAAGCAGAAAATTCTTTTGTCGAAGACTCGGATGATATAGGATGGGCGACCGAGGACTCAATGCTAGCACCATAGTTAATTTAAAAAAATTAGCTAAATGTCTTTAGTCATAACAGTCATTTACCGTGATGTCTTTCACTGTGCTGTTGTTACACAGGTGGAGGAACATAAGGCTGATGTCAGTTGCGATATAAGATGCATCTAGTCAAAGAAGTCGGAGGTAATCAAAAGTACAAGAGCTACTGATTACGTATCAAGCAGGCACTGATGATGGATTGCTGGCGGTAAGTTTAGCAAAATACATTTGTGGGTGGTGACTGAATAAATAGGACAAAGGTTTTCCGATCCGGTGTATAACCTCTTGTTTTATTATCCGATTATATTATCATAAGCGAAAGGGGGGGGGGGGGGGAGGTTACACACGGAAGACTCTCATTGATACTCGTGAGAGACCGAAGCGAATCAAGTTTAGGAGAGTTTAAGACCTTTTATTTTATTTTACCAAATAGGGTTATTGCGAAGTGCATCTTCATTTACGAAAGTCTCGTGAGCTATTTTAACCACCAGGACAGCTACACCTTGATGCAAATCTCGAGTAACAATTGGTCCTGAAAAGTTGTTGCCATTCGTGAACAAAGACAGAATTGTCCACTACGAAAATCTTTATCTTGGGCTAATTGACAGTGCCGCAAATGTATTAGTGTCATGAATCTGCTGCCCAAACAAAGGGGACTTGACCATTCGCCAATACAAGGATCTATTTTCATGAGAAATAAATGGTAATATAGCAAGTAACTTGTATTCTCTAAATCATTTTTTCTCATTTGTACAATCGATAGATATATAACACCCGTAACAATGGGCCACCAACTTCGTGAACATATACCGGCTGTTAATGTGCTGCCAACCTTCCACCTGATCGAAGCGGAGATTCTGGATCTTTCATATGAGGCACTGGTACTACAGGTTGATGGGAATGTAAGACTGGATAAAACGGCAAGAGATCCTGCCGCCTGGAGAGCTCGTGTAGGTGATGGAGTGGTGGGCGGTCCTAATGGCAACCCTCCCGGTCAAATAGCAACTAAACTGGCAACGCAACCAACCGGTCCTCATTTAAGAGATAGGTGCACAATGTCTCTAAATGGTGCGTAAAATTCACAGGTACTTGCTAAGGTGTCTAGATAGTGAATAATAACGTTTATGTGTGTCTAGGACAATTGGGGACGCTTGGAGCCCCTGGAGCAATGCCGCTTATACTACTAGCGGTTAGAGTGGATGATCCTCATGATGACACACTCCAACCCCCTCCACTTGGAATTGCAATTGGAAAGGCGAATCATGATCACTTTTTAAGAAGAGGAGTTTCTCATATAATGTCCCGCGCAATGAATATCAGAAGGGGAATCCCTAACAATTTTGATCCCAACGATGATGATCAAGTCAATGAAAACGAATGGCAAATGAATCCACCTATATCTATTGCATTCCCTCTGATAGGATGTAGAACAGGGTACGGATTTATCAACGCGGCCGAGTGAGTTTTTTTTATTTTAAAAAGAAATGTATTGCCTTTGGTTTCCAGTTGTGCTTTGTCAACATTTTTTTGCTTTGGTATCTCCTCACAATACATCCGGTTGACTTCCCGAAACTGCTTAACACCCTCTTGTGGATAAGTGTTGACTTCTAATCTTTCAGAAATATCCTGAGCGCAATCATTGGATGGTATCACGACCCAAGATACACCCCACAGTTTGGTAACGCTGCAATGCGCGCTTTCACCATTCAAGATATATATCTCGTCGTTCCCCCAAGAACCACTGTAAATGTACGCATTCTCAAGCCTGCATTGATTCGATCTGCCTGGGAAAAGGCATGGGAGTAAGTGACTCTCCTCCATTTTTCTACTGTACTATGTTTTATAAACCACACGATGTCTTATGATATAGCTATTGACTGTCTTATTTATAGTCGATATCTGCCACCTGCTCTTGGCGCTCCACCCGTACGTTATGCTAGCGATGTCCAGGATGTCATAGATGATCAAATTCGACAACACGCGACCACATATTGGAAACCAGGTCTTGGTCAGGTTTTATTGATTGATGGTGTGGATAATGTGGCAGGAGGATTTCCACTAAACCTCACCCCGTGGCTACCAGAGAATATCACTGATGCCTGGATCAGACGTAATTGTAAAGTTCTTAGAGGAGGTAGAGTAAAGAGAGTGACTGATATTTGAATTTGACGTAAATCCGAAGGGGAAGGGAGGAGGGAAGAGCGTAGACTAGATGGAATTGTTGAATTATGATTGACCTTAAGAATAGAGCTTTGATTATTGCGAATTTCCCATCTCTAGAGGTCGTTCAAAATGCCCATCTTACCTATGACTTATGATAAGAATAAAAGACTTTCACTTGAATACCATTTGTATCAAGGTCAAGGAAGGGAGTAACACAAAAAATAAGTTTCACATAATAGCCGCATGCTGCAATGTAACTGAAAGACTCTATAACGATACGATTGTGAAGCTGGTTGCGTCCCCGTTCAACAAATCTCAACAAGATTTCATATATAGGGTTCAATATTCAAGCCAGTGGATAGTAGCAACTACAAAAGTCTAGAATGAAAGTCTGACAACGAAATATGTCGATTTCCTAAGACAATCAAAATGTTCAGGCAATCCGAAACAACGAATTTGTTTCGCAATTCGAATCAATTTCAAAATTGGCAGCGATGAAGAGTTACATACAGTCTACTAGTCCAGATGATTCGACAAACCAGGTTCTGACTAGAACAAGATGAAGATATCAATTGCAGTGAGCATAATATTTGGGCGTGCAGCTTTGCACTATATAGGTTCATCACGATAATATACGTTTATGATACAAAAGTCACCAATACAATCTACCCTGACCATCCACTGGTGCTCAAATATAGCTCCAGTCCATTAAAAATGACTTTCCACGAGATTTGACGTTAATCCTCACTGCTGCCAACATTGCGACAAGATGGGCATGCTCGTATACCTTATCAGAGCCCTATTCCCAATCTCAATTTTAATCCTAGTTTCAACAAAGAAAACCACACCAATCAATCAATCCCCATGAACATATTAATTCTGACAATAACGTTGGAACTATGCACTGATCAGGTGACCATTTACTGATACACGCACGCAAACCTGCCCCTGGTTCTGCAACCTGCTGACCATAAGCGAGCCATTCCCCTTGGCTTCGGGGTTTATCTAAACCCCGCCGAATCCGCATATAGGAGATAAGTCAAAGCGAACAAGCAAAACATCGTTCCTTACGCGAAATTTGTTTTCACATTTCCCTTTTTGGACGACGTAAAAGAATGAAGAATGTAAAATGAAGTAGGGATCAAGAGCTTATTTTTATCAATGATTGCAATGCTGATAACCTTCCACCAGTAGTATCTGGGTTGCGTCAAGACGATTCAATCCGTGGTATGCAGCATGGATATGTTTGAAAGTCTAGGCAGATATGACGCAAATGTATCATCCATTCATTGAGACATGGAGATGTCAGATTTGAACATTCTGTATATTATGAGGGTAATTATAAAAAGGTAACATTCCCTCGACTTAAAATGCTGCAGTTTGCTCCAGCTTAACAACATCAAGATCACCAAGCGCCAAGCATAACAACAAAAACTTAGAACATGACTTACAAAAACTCCATTATCGTCACTGGTGGAACCATTAACCTAGGTTACCAAGCTGCACTCAAGATAGCAAAAGAACATCCTGACTACCTCGTCGTCATTGCTTCCCGGTCCGATAAAGAAAACTCCGCCAAATCCATCAATAAAAGTCTACATCAAGACAATACTATTTTCATGCAACTCGATCTTTCCGATTCAAAAAGCGTTCGAAATTTTGCTGAGAAATGGATCGCTGATTCTACGAAACCTCAAATCAAAGCTTTGGTTTTGAACGCCGGTCTTCAATTCCCAGCCGGTCTCGTGATGACACCCGAGGGATTGGAAGCAACTCTTGCCATCGCTCATGTGGGACACGCACTTCTTTTCTTCCTCTTGTGTCCACATCTCGCACCTGATTCCCGCGTGGTTCTCACTTCGAGCGGCACACACGATCCTGCACAAAAGACTGGTATGCCTGAACCCGAATACACTACCGCAGAAGATCTCGCCCACCCTCCAGAATCCATGATCAAGGTTCCAGGTCGCAAGCGTTACACCACCGCTAAGCTTTGTAACGTACTATTCGCCTACGCGCTATCGCGTAAACTTGCTGAACGGGCCCCTGAGCGTCATGTCACCGTTACTGTGATGGATCCTGGTCTCATGCCCGGCACTGGATTAGCAAGAGAAGCAAACATGTTCGAGCATTGGCTTTGGAATTCTGTTCTGCCACACCTGATTTGGTTGCTTCGTTTGGTTGCGACACCAAACACACATACACCAGCAGAATCAGGTGCTGCACTTGCTAGACTTGCGACTGCTGCTGATATTGAGGGCACGACGGGGAAGTACTTTGAAGGACTAAACGAGATCAAGTCGAGCAAGGATAGTTATGACGAGAGTAAACAGGAAGACCTATGGAATTGGACGGTCAGTTATTTGGCAAAGGACGAACGGGAGAAGGCTAGATTTGAGTCACTCAAGTGAGAGCAGACATTCAAACAAGCCAACAAAAAGCTCATCTCTGTTTTCCAATCTCTATTGTAAGAATAATTCCCAAAAATGCTAAAAATGCTGAAAATGCTGCAAATGCTCGTTTCGTTAGCCAAGAAATCAGGATTCGCAATATGTCTTGCGGCGGTTGAAAAGGACTTGAGAAGATCTAGATGCGTGATTTTCATAGAGAGTCGAAAGATATACTATTGTAATCATCGATGGAAGAGGAAGGTTCTTTTAGATGGCTCGAGCATGGTACACTGAGTGGGGCATGTCGGAGAAAATCAATATTAAGCTCCCGCTGGGCAAAATCACGACATCGCAAATTTTACCTAACAATCCTCGCAATTCCTCACCAATTTCATCTATAATTGAATACCATATAAAGTAAGCCAATGAGAAAGAAATGAGTTACCTATAAAAATCCACTTAATCTCGAAACTTTTGACAGCTTTCGGTTCGCGACGGCATGCCTAGCTTCACATCCGTCATACTATCTGGATTTGTTCTTCTTGACTTCTTGTAAAAGCTTGGATTAGTATCACGTCTTCATCTCACCATATTCATCATATTCTTATGTACAATTAAGAATCGTCTGATTCCCTCTTGATGTTTAGCTGAACCTTCTTGCTTTGTAATATTAGCGAAGGCCTCGATTTATTCCCCTTTCACTCATAATTCATAACCTTGAGTACTCGAGCCATTCAATATCCCTCAAACCGACATAGAATCCAGGGCGTCAATAGTATCCAAAATATCGACAGGACCCTCGATCTTCAGATAACAACACCGAAAAAATGAGAGACTATTCGAATAACGCATCAAGTCTTCCCAAATATGGGGGTACGGATCAAGTTGGAGTGAGCCCCAAGACGGGAGTTGGAACACAAAGCGATTATAGTCAAGGTATAATTAGAGAACCATCCTAATAATTGGCTAGTCTTTTTTCGCTCCTAATTTCTGACTCTCAAATAGAAGAAGGGGAATCCGCATATCAAACTAATGATGCGCGCCGTCAAATTGGTCCAGTTTCAGCCATTTTCTTGATCTTCAATCGCATGATTGGAACCGGAATCTTTTCGACTCCAAGTACCATTGTTGCTCTTTCTGGATCTGTTGGACTAGCACTCTTTATCTGGGTTGCAGGTATGCTGATTGCTGCAGCTGGTCTTGCAACATATATGGAATTTGGTACCGGACTTCCACGAAACGGTGGCGAAAAGAACTATCTCGAATATGTTTTCCGGAGGCCGAAGTTTCTCGTCACTAGCATGTATGCTATGTATGTAGTACTACTCGGTTGGGCGGGTTCGAATTCCGTGGTATTTGGAGAGTATATTCTAAGTGCTGCCGAAGTTGAGGTAACTCGTTGGAATCAGCGTGGAGTAGGATTGGCCTGTATCACAGCCGCTTTCTTGATTCATGGATTTTCTGTGAAGTGGGGATTGAGACTTCAAAATCTTTTGGGTGTTATCAAGCTTCTAATTCTTCTCCTGATCATCATCTCGGGATTTGTTGCGCTTGGTGGCCATCTCAGAATCGAGAAGCCAAACAATTTTACAAATGCCTTCGAAGGAACAACTGGTAGCGCGTAAGGAAACTTCCCTCAATTCAAATTATCATCTGACTTTGTGTAGCTACGGAGTCGTAACAGCTCTCTATAACGTTATCTGGAGTTATATCGGCTATAGCAATGCCAATTATGCGCTTTCCGAAACCAAGAATCCAGTCAGAACACTAAAGATGGCCGCGCCAACAGCTCTCGCTATAGTTGGCGTGCTTTATATGCTTGCAAACGTATGTTGGCGATATCGAGATCTTCCACGAAATAATACTGATGTATAGATTAGATTGCATATTTTGCCGCCGTACCAAAGGAGGAAATTATGACTTCGGGTCGTATATTGGCTGCTTCATTTTTCAGAAACATGTTCGGATCCCGCGCCGAACGTGTATTGTCTGTTTTTGTTGCCCTTTCAGCATTCGGGAATGTTCTCAGTGTCATATTCTCTCAAGGCAGAAGTAGGTTGCTTCATATAACTTCCATCAGAATATCTTGCTAACAACTTTTAGTTGTACAAGAAATTGGTAGAGAAGGAATCTTGCCATTCTCCCGACTTTGGGCAAGCAACAAGCCTTTCAACACACCATTCATGGGCCTTTTTGAACATTGGCTGGTGTCTGTGATCATTATGTTAGCTCCACCACCAGGAGATGCTTACAACTTTATTCTGAAGTATGTCCCTATTTCCTCAAGATCTTGCTGTCGTTTAACTAACACAACTCAGTGTCATCTCCTACCCACTTGCGGTAGTAAATGTCTTTGTATCTCTCGCTCTGCTGATTCTTTATGCTCGACCATTTTCAGCTGATCGCCATCCACAACATTGGGCTCCACCTTTCCGTGCTACTTGGCCTGTGGTATTATTCTTCCTTCTCTCGAATGTCTACCTTGTCGTTGCACCATTTGTTCCACCTGATGAGGGACAAAATGTTTACGAGAGTCTGCCATACTACCTTCATTGTGTCGTGGGCATTGCATTCTTCGGCGCAGGAGCTATTTACTGGTTAATTTGGGCTCAAATATTACCCAGAATTGGTGGATATAAACTTGTTCGAGAGACTATCGTCACCGATGATGGATGGAGTGGAAGTGTTTTTAGGAGGATCAAATCAGAATAGATGACGAGAAGCAATTGGTATAAGAAGGGGGCAAAGGAGTAGAAATTATTGGTATCAACACTTTATAAGAATAATCATAATAACAACAACAAATTCAACATGTAATAGCGAGTAAATAATTGAGGTTCCGATGATCGTTGTTGTTGATGTATTACTAGTTGTGTAAATAAGGCTGAAAAATGACATCCAATCACATATACGCTATCCCTCATCCAATCTAGCTCAAAATGCCACCCTATCATACCCGCTTCCCGCCTCCCGCCTCCAATCCAGATGAACATGTTCACAAAGCAACTTATGTCAAACTCACCTTGCAGTAAATTCACAACGCATAACAATAATGCTTCACTGAGACCCACAACCATCTGCATGCCTCAAATACCGCGTCGTTCTCCTCGCGCAAATTGATATCTGTTATCCGTAACACAATGGCACCATTACTCGAAGATCCTCGTATCCGACAGACCTGGAATCAATTCTCACAGAATGCGGAACATGCAACAGAAAATGCAGCGGCAGGTATATGGACTTTTCAACATAATTATTTAAATCCTTGCTTTTCAACCATCGGTAACGGCTTCAATTCGTGTACAGCACAATGTTTTCCAGGACAGGAAGAAAGGGCGAGGAGATTGCGGGAAAGAGGGCGGACAAGAGGACGCGCAGAGTTTAGTTTCGATTTTTATGACGATTGGGATGAAGATGAAGGCATTTTAGGAGGATGGGGAAATGACGAGTTGGATAGACTATTGGCAGGAAGTGGATCGCATTCTGGAAATGTGAATGAAGCGCCAAAGAGGAAGAGAGGGATGAGTTACGGAACAAGAGGAAGAAAGAAGGGATTAGAAGGCGACCCTACAATTATACCGAGCACAAGCGCTATAGGATTTTTAGGACGTTTACCTTGGAAACTAGGCGGGACACTAAGATACAAACCCAGCGCTGCAGATCTACAAGAACATCCTGGAGCGCATCGATCGGATTATAATGGAGTTGGAGAGGAAGCAGATGCATTAATGGGAGATGATCTTGATGATGATGTGCGGGATTTCATGAGAGGACATACGAGGAATAGGAGTTCGACACAAAGCTCAGGAGAAACTTCGGATTCATTTCGATCGAGAGGGGATTTATTCCCTAGCGACGAAGAAGATGCAGTACCTTTAAGTGACGAGTTTGCAATGGTACTTGAAAGGCGAAACACAAATTCTGGTACAGACGATAAGAGCAGTGGGAAAACGCGAAGTAGTAAAGGCAAAAGACCTGCGCAGTCAAGGGATGCATCACGAACTACACAATCATCACAAACATTACGACCAAAAGGCGTCCGCTCGGGTTCAGGGACGTCATCAAAGAGTGCCCCAGATCTCTCAGAGCCTGACTTGATCAACACCTTGTCAATTGAAGATTTACAACTAGAAGAGGAAAGGATACGTTTAGAAGAAGATGAAGAAGTGGAAAGGAAACGACAAGCAGCGTTACGATTGGCCCTGGAACGAGGACTTCATGCAGAGGATATTGCTGAACCTATTTCATCAGAGCCAAAACAAGATATAGACGAAGTAGAAGATGAGTCAACTCAACCTGAAGCAATCGAGGTAATACAAGCCACCGAACTACCTGGAGCTCAATCAGAATCACAAGATGATGACGATACCACGGAAATAAAGGAGATGGATAACGACAAAGAAAATAATTTTGTCCCTGCGAGACTACCAAACTTTGGTTGATGGCATTCGATCAAACGCGTTACACGGCCAACTTCAAAGGAGTCTTTAAGACGGCAATGATGAAAAGTTCAAATTTGACGGGTTTACCATTACCAAGCCAGGCCTGGGTGTACCCCGAGGATTGGATTAAGATACCGGTATGTGCACAATCTTCGTCTTCCAGAAGCATAGAGTTTTCTCAAACAAAGGAGAATCATCCCACGTACTGCTCGCGGGAAGTCATGATTATGTCATCAGCATCAAAGTAGAGGGCATGGAAGATCTAGGCTTCAAGCTACAGCTTCCGGCAGATCTTGCGATGCGTTGAACCGACTAGTAGAGACTACAAGAGTACCCTCCAAAATTCCAATCTCTTGCAAAACTTCCTAGTAAAATTCATCAGCACAACTCAGCAGAGCGCACGAAACCTCGACGACGAGTAATGGTGAGCCGAGCGAGCCGGAATGAAAATCGCGGAACAGGAGGGAGGGAAACGACGAGAGGATTGTCACTAGTTAGATAGCATACTGCAGATGACAGGTGACAGAATACAGATTACAAACAACAATTGATAGTCGATAATCGATAATCGTCAGAACAGATAAATAGGCGTTACCAGAGACAGAGAGAGAAAAAGAATATGCGAAGTGCTCGCTACACTTGGATGATCGATGACTCTGGGTATTCATTCGATGATCTAATTCATATGATAAAATATGATCATTGCAGACAGGAGTTTGGGCGGGGTTATGTTTGGGGTTGTAAAGTAATGTGTTTAGTATGGAGTGTGGGATATGGGATATGGGATATGAGATGGGATGGGATAGGATGGGATAGGATATATAGATGTTGTGGGTAGTTTAATGGAGCGATTAACGAATGATACAAGCTTTCTAACGATATTGTGTTGCCATGTGATGTCGTGTAGTGTGTGTTAGGTCGTTGGTGTAAAATTTCTATCGTCTGAACAGGTATCATTATTCTTAATCTCTTGACCAAGATACATAGATTGAGTATATCAAACCCCAATTCGCAACGAGCCCATGTGCCCAGTACCTAAATCTCTCAAGCTCCCAGCCACAGATCACCTGAGCACTATGCACTACACTCTACCCAAATCAAAATCTCATTAAACCCCCAGAATCATACAATTCCCATCTCCCATCTCCTCTCTTCCCCCAACGCCCTCCCACCCCTCACAATTTACTCTTCCCCGCACTCAAAAACCCATCCGCCTTCCTCAACATGTCCACCGCCTCCCCAACCATCTCATCCACAATGACACCCGCAGGTTTGATATCCTCAATAACCCCCGCCACCACCCCCATCAAATGCGGAATGTCCACATCTTTTCCCTGTTCCATGTCGTATTCGAGGGGCGTGATACCTTTCCGAGTTAATTCTTTGATTTTGTCCGGTTGGGATTCCCAGGCTTGTATGTACTAGAAAGACGGGGAAAAGTATTAGTATAATGAGTAACTTATTAAATCATAGATAAATCAAGGAGATTGTGATAACGAGAACGAATGAGAAGGGAAGAAGGGAAGTAAGAACAAAAAGGAAAATCTCACATCGTTCATCTTAACTCTCAACGGTCTCCCCGACACAACCAACGTCCTCAACGTATCCTCAAACCTCGCACTGACCACCTCTTCCTTATGAATCCTACTACACCCCGCCTCCTCACTCGCCACAAATCTCGTTCCCACCCACACTCCACACGCACCCTGCATCAAACTACTCGCCAAACCCCTCCCATTATAAATCCCTCCCGCCGCAACAACCAACGCCGTCTCCCCCTTCAACATCGCGGGTTTATATTTCCGCGCCACATCCACCACCGCCGGTATCAAAATGCTATTCGGTATATCCCCCGTATGACCCCCGCCCTCTCCTCCCTGCGCACACACGATATCAACCCCCGCATCCAAGGCTTTCACAGTATGTTTCGGAGCGCCAACCATATTCATCACCAGGATCCCCGCATCGTGTAATCGTTTTATGACGTGTGGAGGCGGAATCCCTACGGCGGAAATGAAAAGTCGTGCGCCTTCTTCGATGGTCACATCGATAAGCGCATCGAGTTGGCCGTGGGTATAATCGTGGTTTGTAGCGCGAGCGCCTTCGCCTACTTTGGGGAGAGCAAGATCGACGCCAAAGGGGAGAGAGGGGTCTGATAGGTTGGATTTGAGGGAGTGGATTATTTCGCGGAGTCTGGGGGGTGTTAGTGAGGTTTATGGGGGAGGAAGAGGGAGAGGAGATGTACTGTTGAGGCGTGTATCCTAATCCTCCTATACAACCCAATCCACCTGCATTACTGACTGCAGCTGCAAGTGGACCGCCGGATGTACGAGCCATGCCGGCGAGTATTATAGGATGTTTGATACCGAGTAAAGTGGTTAGGGGAGTGGTTATTGGACCTTGAGTCGCCATTGTGTATTGATTTTTGTATTTTCGGGATATCTGTTTGTAAGATTACAACTTATGGTGCTGAGTTTTGGATCTGATGTCACTCAAGGGGGTGCTTGGATATATACGACCTTAGCAATTGATCTAGTGAAATAGATGTGTGGAACAGATGAACAAAATTGAAGTGAAACATAGTAAAAAGATAGATAATATGGGGTAAGACGGATAAGCTCGTTGTGGAGTAAATAAAATCAGGGGTTCTGTGGGGAAGTACCGAGGTTATCGGATCGATAGATCTGCGATTCGTTGAGATGAGGCTGTGGGGGTCGAAAGGAAATCACATGAAAGAGAACGACGTTATATATAAATCTTGAATCGCGAAGAGATTGCATTGATCAAAATGTCTGAACATCTCGATGTTGGGTATATCTAGATTATTAGAAAGTGCTCGCTAGGTATAGCATAAAATCAATATGATATCCGAATTCCTCATTCATCCCCTCTGTTCGCATTGTGCGACCCATTGATCCTCTTGACACTTTGATCCTCCCGCACCTTTGCCTTGCTCGCACCTCTGCCATCCTCACGAGTTGATTCTCCTCACACCCGAATCCCCTCCTCTCACCTTTCAACAACAGTGTGAAATCTCAAATGCCGGCGGTACCGCCCCCTTTTCATTCCTCATCGCAAGTAAATGGTAGTAAATCGTCATACTGTCCTCAGGACTGTCGTGAAGCAAGCTACGCCACTCGCTTTTGAACATAATGTACAATGCTGGTCCGAATCCATTGAATTTGCGTGCCGTTTCATAAGCGATGATAGTACCACGTTCGCATTTCTGAAGAACCATGAGAAAAATCCAAAGACGACATGCTGATCGAGGCCAGGTCCATTGAGGGACGCTTTCGGTTGTGATTTCGTCTCCGCCGGGGAAATCGCGAAGTTCGGCTTCGAGATAGCCTGCTAGTCGAGATCTCACATATGGAGGTGGGAAAGCAGATTCTGTGTGTTCGCCGGGTACCTCTGATTCTGAGGATGATCTGGATGCCATTTCATATCGATCGTGGGATTCTCTTCCTATGGTTGAACACCTTGATGTTAGTAATTTGAAGGAAACGAAATGCAAACAAAAAGTTATTTGTTGAATTTTCATCATCATAATTCCAGAATCGATTGAGCATACATACTTTCCAATCTTTCTTCTCCAGGCCTCAAATTCTCCTCTGTTGCCTCCTCTCTTATCTCACTCTTTATCCCCTCGAAGATCGTTGGAAAGTGTGACATTGCGGGATTTAAAGTTCGAAATGGTAAAGTGGCAGAGTTGACTTGAAGTTGCAATCAAGGTTGAAGTTACGAAGGTTTAAATACCTATCAACACAGACCTCTGAGAAAAACAAGGGGATTTGCAAAAGTGAATTACTATTGAAGTATCAGTAGGTACCTACTGATACTTCACATATTAAGAAAGTACACAATCAGGGTCTTAGAGATCCCGTGTGGACGTCATTAAGAGCTTTAAGCTTTAAGAGAAGTTTGGAAAGAGTCTCGATGCTCCACACACGCTACAAGGTCTACCCCGCCTTCCACTGTGGCCTTTCTACCGCACTCTTAACTTCGCGCGAACCACCTGCGATCTTCAGTGTTTTGGTTGATTTGATACGTTAGTCTACGCGTACTTCAGCCTCATTCACTGCTGCTGAAATTATGAATCTCATGTGAGTAATTGTTTTCCCTCTTCATCAACTGTTTCATCAATGATAATATCGTATTCAAATGTAACCTCATTGTGGAAATATGAAATCATCAAGCTAGGAATCGAGTTCCCGAGTGGTCATGTACTATTATTGACACGACGTACTCTATATTCATCCAACGAATCTCTATCTACACCAGTTAATGAATCATCGACCACCATCTCACTACTCAACCTCCATAGAATCTCAAGTTTAGGTCACCAGAATTCCTCGTCCTCCCATCCTTCAACCTTCTCGGCTCATCTTCGAGACTACTGCTCAACATTCACATACTCCACCCGCAAGTTCAAATCCATCCGCGCCCTCTTTGATAGCAATCGCTCATCCAAACATCCTTCCTTCGCCAATCTCAGACCATTCTTAAAAGCGTTCCAAATTCTCTCATCGGAAAGCGCAGAAAACTTCTCGGGACCATCCAAATAACTTGAGTAATACGAATTAATCAGACCAGTTGTGTAAATTACCTGATCATCGATGTATTTCTTTGCTTGATGAGTGGTGGTTGCATCATACACGATAGTGTCATCATCATCTCCGAGATCTGGAGTACATACGCATTGTATCCAGTGGCTCATCAAGTCCCAACTCTGCTCTCACAGTTTGCTCAATTTCGATCTCATCCTGGGCCAAGCTCCATTCACAAAGCAAATTCTCCAACTGATTCTTAAGCTTAACATCCAATTATTCTACTCCAAAACGTGTCAAATTGGCTTGTATTTGATGTATTTTTTCTACTGCGCCATCAAGACCTTTCAATAGGGTTGCGAGGTCGATACTGGTCAGTAACTTCACCAGCCATGACCATCCAGATACGACTAGGAAAAAGATATCATATTCATAAATTAATCAATCAACGAATTCAAAAAATTGCAAAACTAGGTATTGAAATTAAGAGCTGTCAAGTTTGGAATTACGTGCACTTGCAGAACCAAGTATTTGATGGTTCAGTACCCAGATCAACCGCGCGCTCATTTTATCATTCCTTCGTGCTTTTCTCTCTCCATGACTACTAGGTGTATATAAATAAACATTGTCTCTTTTTACGACAGCATCAAGGTATCTATGCATCACGTCTCCAAATTTTCACACTCCGTCTATCCCTTTACAAAATCCTCATTCAATCTTTCAATCATCACAAGATTCTCACAACCTTCAAATCTCCCTCTCCACCATCAACCTCCACCCATCCACCTCCTTCGATTCTCTTTTTCCACTTATTGCTCTCATCTCTCGCCGTCACAATCGTCATTCTCAGTACTACACCTTCTCCTTGGCTACTCTCATGTTCCTTCTCCAATTGCTGTTCTTCCATTTTTGTGCTTGTCCAACGACCAAAAGCCCAGTTGAGTATGTACTTGGCAGATTTTGGTGTGAGATCAGAATTAGAATTTGACGAGGATGGAGATGCAGAGATATCGGATTCGGGCGGCGAGAGTGAAGAATCGGAAGGTGGAATAGGAGAACTTGAGGATAAAACTGCTTTAATGCGGTATACTTCATCTTTGGGTGCTTTGGTGAGAAGTTTGTTGAGAGGAGCGAGAGATATTGTTGAGGATGGAGAAGATGATGCGAGAGTTATGGATAGGACTTCGACTTCAGATTGATGGTCGTGAGAATGTTCGTGTTTGTGATCGCCATTTTTATGATCATGACTATGACCATTTTCCTTTCCATCGATATCATCAATCAACCCTCTAGCCAATCCACCGTCAACTCCGCATACGACATCTACTCCCACTGATCCCTTATCACTCTTGACCCAAGCAACCTGAACTTCCAAGTCCCCTAATCTATCCAAACATTCATCGAACCTTCTCTCACTAACCCCCTCCCACTTATTAAAAACCACCAAATCCGTATATTTTGCCTGTAATCTCGCCGTGTAACTTGTATCTTCATACCCCTCCCAATTCTCCACATCAATCACCGAAATCACACCATCCAGCACATAAGCCCCCTTTGTTTCCCTCGCAATCCTATTAACTTCCATTGCCAACGTGGCAGGAAAAGCCGACCCAGATGTTTCAATTATAATTCTATCCAAACTCCCCTTCTCTTCCTTCCCAGTTGATTCATTGACTTTAACTGGTAAACTTTCTTGCAGTTCTTGAAGCGCCGAAGATAGAGAACCGACGAGATTACAACATATACATCCGTTGAGCATTTCCCGCACAGAAGTTATAGAAGATGAAGATGCAAGTTGCGAGTCGACAGCTAGATCCCCAAATTCATTTTTGAGAAGAGCGAGACGGTAGGAGGGGTTGAGGGCGTGTAGTTGTGGGAGTAGGTTAAGAATTAGAGTTGTTTTCCCTGAGCCGAGGAAGCCGGTAAGGATAGTTATGGGGATCGGCGACATGATGAGAGAGTTTCGAGGTCGTGTTGAGAGAGGGTAGTGGAATTCGTGGTATTTTGGAGTGGCAGTGATGAGGTGATGGCAATAATTGAAATATAGATGGAGGGGTAGTGATGGGTGGAGGGGCACTTGGGAAAAAGAAATTCTCTTATCGCTTATCGCTTCAGTGATTGTCATTCAACTCAACCTTTCATCCCCATACTGGTGTATCCACCAGATCAGTCATTGTTAAGGGACAAGCTCGGGCTTTGAAGCCTTCCTTTTGGTGAAATACATATTTGACGGATTTCAAGTACCTCATATCAAGCATATCATTCTTCATAGCCGCTGGCTCAGGACATTGGAACCGAAATTGCTATCATTCATCAATTTGTAAGAACAGTTGAAAGTTCAATTGATCCCTCACCTAATCATAACTCCCCACCCATTGGCGTCTCTCCTTCTCCCACAGCCAATGCATGCTTCACGAGGGGCGAGCGTATCATACTAAATTCCAGTGATTTGGTACAAGATACATACTCAAGTGGCGTCACATGTACTCTCTCTGGGCGCCGGACAAATTTTACGATCATTGGACCTAAAAGTCTCCGAGAATGTTTCGAATAGAGCGCGGGAACGGGAGTCTGACGGCTTCTTACCACGAACCCACGATGGCGGAGATGAGCTCAAGTTGTTGGCACTCGCCACGAATTCATGTTGCTATTCGTGAAAATTCGATCCGGGAACACAACATTGATTAATTGCATGTTTCCTTATTTGATTTTGACTCGGCAGTTTGTTGAGACTGTGCCTCCAAGGTTATCAGGTGAGAATCATGAGATGATGAGAGATTCCGACAGCGTAGGTATTTAGCTGCATGAGAAGGGTTTTGAGCAAAGAGTTTATGGAGTAAGCCTTACAAGTCCAGAAAGGTCTGAGCGATTTATTCGTCGATCTCCCCATGAAGTAATTTCCACATGTCCACTTAGGTACAGATCATAGCATCAAAATTTGTTTAGTATCTTATCTTTTTCTCCGAAGTAGGACTGGAGGTGCAACCATCTTTGCGCTGATGTCTATTTTCTTCAACTCACCGCAGATGCGTGTGCTTGAGGATGTAACATTGCACAACGGCACGACACTGCATTATGCAGGAGAACGATTCAGGTACAAGTCAAGGGCATGGTCCGAAAACCAATGGAGAGAACATAGTAGTATCCTATTGAGAATTAATTCCTTGTTCGTGCCACTGTGTTGTTGACGCTGATGTTATCGCCGAGCTGTTCCTGAGTCCGTAGGAATATGAATCAATTGAATAGTCGAGAGTGAGCGGCTGACAAAAGAAAGATTGTTGCCGCCCTTTTGACATCATGATCTCACGTTCATGTGTTGGAGTGAGGGGCTAATATCAGATAGTGTCCTTGCCGCCGATTATTGTAACGCTTCACGGACATTTGTTTGGACCAGTTCTTTGGTCATGTCGAAACTCAACAATACTGCACGCAGTGAATGTTATCCACGCATCCCTCGATAAGATATTGAAAAAGCATATCGTTGATTGAAGGTTGTCCTATGTAAAATGTTGTGCTTTCCAACTTGGTGTGCTTGTAATTATTCACATGTGTATCTGTATCCCAATTATGGAAACACCAGCCACATTCAAATCATACCCAGAAGCAAAAGGATCAAGAAGCTCATTTCGGCCATAACCCAGCCAAGGTTCGGCACGATGGATTCATCCTTATCATGATTCATCGAGGCTAAACAACATGAGAATGAAGAAAAGACATTGTTACAATCTTTATCGTATACTCCTATTGTCACGCTGAAAGGATCAAAGGTTATTCATAGGATTTTACCAGGGAAACTTTAAAGTGACTGATTGATCAATTGAATATGAGATCTATTCCAGGGATAGACTGGGATAGACTGGGAGCGCCAAATGCCAATGAGATTTCTTTTTGTTGGTTCGTCTGAATTTTGATTGAATGCTTGCATAGATATGCGGCCCTTATTCTTATCGGCAGGTCAATTCTTAAGGCCGTAGGTCGAAGAGGATTCAAGAGAAGATAATGATGTAAAATTGTAATTGCTAGACCACGAGAATATGAATAATCTTTTAATGAAGAGGAGATTCACCTCCACAGAGTCGGACAATTTAAATGATTTTCATGACGTGCAGTAATACTCTATTCGATTTAACAAATCAACTCTAAATCAGAAAATTCGATGGATGTGTATTTAGATGGTAGTCTAAATACGATAAGAATGATATGGAATAGTACATATCTCGAAACTTCAAAAGCTTAAGAGCAGATCATTTTATCCACTAGATATTCATGATATTAAATTAAAAGCGCCCTTAGGGGGGGAAAGGACGGAAAAGAAACATCTACCCCTAGAATGGGACTGTTGATTGGAGAGAATTTTTACGGTGTTTGTATGGAAATTAATGAATCTAGACTTGTTGACTGGGTTTGCCGTTTCAAAACAGTAAACTAAACGCCAAGTAGCCGAGTTAGTTAAGAATGGACATCACTTTTTGTCAATGAGGTATAGAAATGACTGGGATATCTCAAAGGGATCTGTATCTGATGCCCCTGCAAACTGTTTGCCCCTTCTTGATATCTTTCCACTCAGATAGCCCCCAATGGCAAGATCCATGTAATCGGATGGTTAATCCGGACGTCAGGAACCAGAGATCAACAAATTTCCCATTCCCGACGATTCGACCACCCTTAACACTACAATATGGCTTCCTACCTCCATGGCTATTCACTTGGAGCACATTTCCGCCCGGATCTCTTTCTTTCTCACACTCCCGACCAAATGTTTCATTTACTGACCTGTCATGTTGGAATATATCTCTTTAATTCTATAATTCTTGGGCAGCGAATAGGAATCATACTTGGGGAAAATAGATCCGTGTCACTCTATCTAGTTTCCCCTGCATCCCGATTCTGGGCTGAGCCTTTTTTACCTTAATCTTCCTTCATACATGTACTAGCGTACATACATATGGTTTCCCGTGTTGAGGTGGGTAACACTGCATATTGTAAGAGACTACAGGCCATAGTCATATAATATAAGATTCCATACTTTTCTGCATTATGGTTCTATTCCTCACCCTCTTTTGAAGTTTCCCCTCAACACACTTTCGTACTTTTGTACACCACATTCATTTATTCATTCTCTGCGTGCTATTCATTCCTTCATTTGCTACTCTGTTGATACAGAATCTTCTATTCCATCAAACACCAATTGAGGCCAGTCACTCTTGTGTTTTTTCGTTCACTTTTCAACAATCCTTCAGCTTTCAAAACAGTCACTTCACAGATATCAGCACCATCAGATTTGAATACATTTCAAAGTACATATTCTGCAATCAAACTCCTCATCTACACTCACTCCGTCATCATGGTTTTCTCAAAATTGGCCCTCGTGGGCACATTCGCCGCTTCGGCAACAGCATACTCTGCAACTGCAAGAACTTTCGCTGTCAACCATTTCTATGGAACAGGACCTCTTCTTACCGCCCGTGTAGATCCAATTGTCAACCCAGGAACCGTTGGAACACACGTTCATACGATCCAAGGAGGAAGTGCTTTTGGTATGACTATGGGGGACACCACTGCTTTAG